TTTAGATGCATCTTATTTTCATATTTGGTGGACATGTAGGGAAGTTAAAGCATTTTGGATTAAGATATGGTGGAATACTCAAAATATTTTTAAGAAAAAGATAAAGTTTAAGCCGCAGATATTTTTGTTGGGTATTATGGAAGACTTGGATGCAAAAGAAATGGAATTGATGTTGAACTTTATAACTGCTGCAAGACTACTAGTAGCTCAATATTGGAAAACGGAACGTTTACCTACTATAGAAGAATGGTCACTTAAAGTCTCGAATTTAGCAGAAATGGCCAAGATTTCCGCATATGTGAAGGACTATTCACAAGAAAGATATATTTTGGTTTGGAGAAGATGGATAGATTATATTGAGCGTAAATATGGGACTAAAAAATATCATTTGGTTTTTGAGTAAATTTTAGAGTATTATTGTTGTATAAAGGTTAGAATATTTTATTTAGTATTATTTCTAATTATTAAAGTGTTGTTATTATTATTGTTTTTAATAATTGTACTGTTTAAAAGAGAGTTAAAGGAGGTTATAGATATGTTATTTTAATAGTTGATTAATGTTAATTAGAGTATGATTATGTTATTGTTAACCCTGTGATTGGCACTGGGAAGTGAGGGGGGAGGGAGGGGGGGTGGAAGGATGGGAAGGGGAAGGGGGGGATTTATATTGTAAAATTTTATAAAATTTTCAATTAAAAAAAAAAATTCAGACGCTTGGGAACTGATTCATTTTTATGACGGTTGCAGTGTCCCCAGGGTCATGTGATGCCCTTTTGCAGCCTTCTGTCAAGCCAAGTCAATAGGGAAGCCGGATTCACTGAACAACCGGGTTACTAGCTCAACAACTGCAGTGATTCACTTAACAACAGTGGCAAGAAAGGTCATAAAATGGGACAAAACTCACCACTGTCTCACTTAGCAACATAAATTTTGAGCTCAATGCTGGTCATAAGTCAAGGACTACCTTATACTTACGTTCATCTGCCAAGATAAACCTGGCAAGAAAAATGTAAAATGCCTCATTTTTTTTTTTCACATTATTGAATTTCTCCAACTGTGAAAATAGGCAGTGATTTGTGTCTGGTGAAGCTACGAGAAAGAGACATTCTCTTGTCTTCTACAATATTTCTCGGGAAAGTCTCCATTGCACGGAGCTCAGCTTTTGACAAACATCACAGATGCAATTCGTATCGTTTGACACTGTTTTTTTTTCCTGGGATTTTTTTTTTTAATTCCCAGTTTTGGATTTCCATCCAAAAACTAACCACCTTTAGCTCTACTTAGCTTTTTGAGATCAGCTAGCTCAGGGGTAGGCAACCTCGGCTCTTTTATGACTCATGGACTTCAACTCCCAGAATTCCCGAGTCAGCATAGCTGACTCGGGAATTCTGGGAGTTGAAGTCCATGAGTCATAAAAGAGCCGAGGTTGCCTACCCCTGAGCTAGTTGGTGCCACATGGAAGGGCAAAGCATCTGAACTGCACCACTCTGAATGGCATCCAGAACCAGCCAGTTAGCAGTCAAAGGAGCACAAGGAGTAAGGTTAGGATAAGGGTATAGATTGCTCTCAATGGGGGTGGGTTTGTTGTCCTTTGGCAACAGTGCAGAAACAATCTCAAAAAGTTAACGAGGGTCAGGAACTAACGGGGAAAGAGATCCTTAGGAAGTTCCAGAGCTGCTAGGCACGGTGGCTGAAATTCAGTTGATTTCCATTTTTCTAGGCTGGCTGCAGACACAGAATAGTGGGTTCCCCCTACTTCCAAAAGCACAGGCTGGCTCCCTGCAGACAAACCTCTCTGATGTAGAAATCTGCAAAGTGGCTGGTGTAGCCGTCTTTCTCCAAAGCGATCACGGCGTCAGTTCCAGCAATGAAGCAAAGGACCATGAACACTGGCGGAAGAGAAAGAGTCAGTAAGTGCGTGCGTTTTCTGCAGGCCTTGACCTCTTGAAGTGAGATCATTATATTTCCTAAACAAACTCATTAATTGGCATTTTATATTCAACCGCTCTTCTAACTCTACAACCTTAGGGCAGTGGCTCCCCCCACCTTTTGGGCACCAGGGACCGCTTCCGTGAAGAGACATTTTTCCAAGGACCGGAGGGGGGCACGGTTTCGTGTGCTGCCTGCATGCCACAGATGAGACTTCGCTTGTTTGCGCAAACTGATTGCTGGCAGGCTGTGGACCATGGACCAGGGGTTGGGGATCCCTGCCTTAGGGGAACTAGCTCTATAAAAATAGGGCTGTTCATTTAGTTCAGGGGTGTCAAACTGCCGGCCTGCGGGCTGGATGCATCATGGCGAAACCGCGCCCACCCCATTGCCGGCAATGGAAAAAAAAGTCACGATACGTTACGACACGTCACGTGACGTTGCGAGTTTGACACCCCTGATTTAGTTCGTTTAGCATGGCTGGCTGGGGAATTCTGGGAGTTGAAGTCCACATGTCTTAATGTTGACAAGGTTGAAAAACATTGCTTTAACAGGTGCTGTCCTTCTAATTAAAGCAATGGGATGCAATCAAAAACATGTCCAGGGAATTCTGGCTGGGGAATTCTGGGAGTTGAAGTCCACCCGTCTTAAAGTTTTCAAGGTTCAGCAACACTGCTCCAAGGCTTAGATCTGGGGTAGGCAACCTTGGCTTTTTTATGACTCGTGGACTTCAGCTTCCAGAATTCCTGAGCCAGCCATGCTGAGGGGAAAGAGAGAGGTTTCCAAGCTGAGCCATGCTGGCTCAGGAATTCTGGGAGTTGAAGTCCACGAGTCATAAAAGAGCCAAGGTTGCCTACCCCTATCCTAGGACGAAAATTAAGAACAGGGGTCTTCAAACTTGCCCCTTTTATCACTCATGGACTTCAACTCCCTGAATTCCTGAGCCAGCCATGCTGAGGGGAAAGGGAGAGGTTTCCAAGCTGAGCCATGGTGGCTCAGGAATTCTGGGAGTTGAAGTCCAAGAGTCATAAAAGAGCCAAGGTTGCCTACCCCTGGCTTAGATCATATAAGCAGTGTGTCTCAAAATTTCCTACTGGTTCCTTAGCGCCATCTACTGCGAGCAGAGGGAGGCTAGTGGCCAATATACCATGCTAGAAACCAGGAGTTGGTGAGTTCTAGTCTTCCCTTAAAGATGGAAGCCAGCTGGGTGACTTTGTATGGAATAATCCTTTTCCCCATCATCAAATGTCTAATAAAAAAAAATCAGCTCTCTTTCCTTGTTCAACTCTGACCAACATGTCTCTGTTTAGCAGGCCAATTTCCCCAGTACAGGTAATCCTTGAGTTACAACTACAATTGAGTCCAAGATTTCTGTTGCTAAGCAAGACAGATTTTAAGTGAGTTTTGGCTCATTTTGCGACTTTCCTGCCACAGTCATTAAGTTAGTAACACGGTTGTTAAGTGAATCTGGCTTCCCCACTGACTTTGCTAGTCACAAGGTTGCAAAAGGTGAGCACGTGACCCCAGGACACTGCAAACATCAATATAACCCAGTTGTCAAGCACCCAAATTTTGATCACACATGACCACAGGGTGATTGTAAGTGTGAAAAACAATCATAAATAACTTTTTCAGTGCCGTTGTAACTTCGGTCACTAAACAAACAGTCGTAAGTTGAGAACTACCTGCAGGAGGCGGGACTGTAGAAAAAAGCTGTCGCCACAGTTCCAAAATCTCCTTTTGTTTATCCATCGGCAATCATCTCCAGATATTTGGCAGGTACATATTTGCTTTCTGTAATCACAATCTGTTCAGCTACCTTCGGGGGCCTTGTTTATGCAAAACCGCTGAGCAAAAACTTCCCAAACCAATGAGGTTTAATGTACAAATATTTCAACCACGCTTTCCTATTCAGTGATCTAATCCAGTGTTTCTCAATCTTGACAGCCTGACAATGTGTGAAGTTCAACTCGCAGAATTCCCCAGCCAGCACCCTTGGCTGGGGAATTCTGGGAGCTGAAGTCCACACATTGTCCAGCTGCCAAGCTTGAGCAACGCTGATCTAGTCATTAGGAAAAAAGCGGTAAATCAGGAAGTCAGCGATTATTTCCACTTGTCCCTCCTGGTCAAAGGATCCACCAAGATGGGAGTGAGAGGGAAGAAAAGCATCATGCATGACAAACCAGACAAGTAAAATAGAAAATAAACATACCGTATAAAAGAGGGTCCTCGTAGGAGCGATTTGGGAGATAAATCAGAACAAACAAAGGCGACAGAATAATAATGCCGAGAACTGCAGTCATCAAAGGGCTGTAGGGAAGAAGGAACAAGCACAGAGTTCAAATGCTAAAGTTATTAATTAAAAAGCAACCCACTGGGAACACTATTTGAGGCTCTCCATAGTCTCTACAAGATTCAGACATTTGGACTTTTAAACTAAATTTAAAGTGCATGGGATTCCCTGGGATAGAATACAAACAGAGACGCTGACAGGAAGAGGGGTCAACAAAGTGAAGATGGCAACCGCCAGGATCTTCATCTGACTTTGCTTGTCACATAAGGGGATCACGTGACTCCAGAACACTGCAACCGTCATAAGTGTGAAGCAATTGACCATCATGCGAATGTAAGTCACACGACTATGGGGATGCTGCAGCAGTCGTAAGAGCGAAAAATGGTCATAGGTCACTTTTTTCAGTGCCGTTGTAACTTTGAACGGTCACTAAATGAACTGTTGCGAGTCAAGGACTACCTATAATTCTATTGCCCATAACACAGGAATACTGCATCCAGTTTTGGTCACCATAATGTAAAAAAGAGGTTGACACTCTAGAAAGAGTGCAGAAAAGAGCAACAAAGATGATTAGGGGACTGGAGGCTAAGGCATATAAGGAACGGCTGCTGGAATTGGGAATGTCTAGTTTAATGAAGAGAAGGATGAGGGGGGACATGATAGCAGTGTTCCAGTATCTCAAGGGCTGCCACAAAGAAGAGGGAGTCAAGCTATTCTCCAAAGCGCCTGAAGGCAGGACAAGAAGCAACAGATGGAAACTAATCAAGGAGAGAAGCAACCTAGAACTAAGGAGAAACTTCCTGACAGCTAGAACAATTAACCAGTGGAACCACCTGCCTCCAGAAGCTGTGAATGCTCCAACACTGGAAGTTTTTAAGAAGAGACTGGACAGCCATTTGTCTGAAATGGTATAGAGTTTCCTGCCTGAGCAGGGGATTGGACTAGAAGACCTCTAAGGTCCCTTCAAACTTTATTTATTTATTTATTTATTTATTTATTTATTACTACTACTACTACTACTACTACTACTACTACTACTACTACTACTACTACTACTACTACTATTACCATGAAGGGAGAATGCAGAATGGAGCACTGATGTTAGCCATCTTGCAAAACCTGCAAAAAAATCATTCGTTCTTCACTGATCAGCTGAATTGCTTTGTAAAATTGGGGGTGCTAAATTTCTGTGCATTTATTCTTACTTGACTGATACAAAGGTTCCACATTTTCCCATTTCCGGTACTCCAAAACTGCAGTTTCCAACTAATTCTGATTTTTTTTTAAGAGTCTAAAAGCAGAAGAGGGTTTTTTCTGCTAGGGCTCCTTTCTAACTGAAAATGCGAGACCCTCAAGCTGCCACGGCTTATGCATGTAGCACATCCCTCGGTACTTCCCCCCCACTCACCCACCCCCCACACACATCCTGACTGCCCCAAACCAGAGAGGGATCACCCTGAATGCCAACCGAAGGACTCAGCCTGTTTATACCATCAGCAGCCAATGCACCAAGCTCTGAGTGGCGCTACAGAAAACAGGCTGGCGCCTGGTGTCAAACTGCAATGCAGATGCAGCCTGAGATCCGTGCAGTGAGCCTGGCAGTTTAGTGGGGTCGGGAAAAGGCCACTGAGCATCCGCAGAGCTGCATGGGGTCTCCAGATCAATAGTTGTCAGCTGGAGAGGCAAAAGGGGGCATGACGGGGGAATACAAGATTCCCACCCACCCACCCTGCTAGCGTTTTTTTAAGACGGACTCAGAGCTCAAATGCCTTTAAGTAGGCAAATGCTGAGCGAGCCAGCTAAGCATTTAATTAAGCATGAGACGGCTTTCTCTTTGCCTGCAGAGTTTTTCCTGTTCTTTACTGCAAGCGTTAGGAAAAAGGCATTTTTCACTGCTTCTAAAAAAAAAAGTGCCTCGCAAGTAGTAAGTAAGTAAGTAAGTAAGTAAGGAAGGAAGGAAGGAAGGAAGGAAGGAAGGAAGGAAGGAAGGTTCTACATTTAGGCAAGATAAACCAAATGTACAGGTATCGTATAGGGGGTACCTTGCTCAATAGTAGTAACTGTGAGAGGGACCTCGGAGTCCTAGTGGACAATCACCTAAATATGAGCCAGCCATGTGCTGCAGCTGCCAAAAAAGCCAACATAGTACTAAGCTGCATTAACAGAGGGATAGAATCAAGATCACGTGAAGTATTAATACCACTTTACAATGCCTTAGTAAGGCCACACTTGGAATACTGCATCCAGTTTTGGGCACCACGATGTAAAAAAGATGTTGAGACTCTAGAAAGAGTACAGAGAAGAGCAACAAAGATGATTAGGGGACTGGAGACTAAAACATATAAGGAACGGTTGCTGGAATTGGGTATGTCTAGTTTGATGGGGAGAAGGACGAGGGGGGACATGATAGCCGTGTTCCAATATCTCAGGGGCTGCCACAAGGAAGAGGGAATCAAGCTATTTTCCAAAGCATCTGAAGGCAGGACAAGAAGCAACGGATGGAAACTAATCAAGGAGAGAAGCAACCTAGAACTAAGGAGAAACTTCCTGATAGTTAAAACAATTAACCAGTGGAACAACCTGCCTCCAGAAGCGGTGAATGCTCCAACACTGGAGGTTTTTAAGAAGAGACTGGACAGCCATTTGTCTGAAATGGTATAGGGTTTCCTGCCTGAGCAGGGGGCTGGACTAGATGACCTCCAAGGTCCCTTCCAACTTTATTATTATTATCACTATTACTATTATTATTATTATTATTATTATTATTATTATTAGTAGTAGTAGTAGTAGTAGTAGTAGTAGTATATTAAACATGGCCCAAAGCTATGCTGGCTGCATTCTTCCCCTTTCTCTTTCTGCAATACAAGTTAAGTACAAGTAGTCCTCTATTTACGGCCATAACTGAGACCAATATTTCCATTGCTATGCAAGGCGGGTTGTTAAGTGTCCAATTTTATAAGCTTTTTATTTTTTTGCCACGATCATCAGGTAAATCACTGCAGAATCACTGTTAAACCGAGCAGGCGGTCGTTAAGCAAATCTGGCTCCCCCCCCCCATTGATTTTGCTTGCTGGAATTTGCTGGGAAGGTGGCCGATGGTGATCAGGTGACCCGGGGATGCTACAACCATTATAAAATACATGCTAAGCCCCTGAATTTTGATCAGGTGACCGTGAAGATGCTGTGATGGCCATAAGCGAAAGGACCATTCGTTTTTTTCAGCGCCACTGAAATAGTTGTAAATCAGGGAACAACTGGTAGTGTTTGTTTAGTGACCATTCAAAATGACCACGGCACTGAAAAAAGTGATTGATGACTGCTTTTCACACTTAGGACTGTTGCGGCATCCCCATGGTCAGGGGTAGGCAACCTTGGCTCTTTTATGACTCGTGGACTTCAACTCCCAGAATTCCTGAGCCAGCATGGCTCAGCTTGGAAACCTCTCCCTGTCCCCTCAGCATGGCTGGCTCAGGAATTCTGGGAGTTGAAGTCCACGAGTCATAAAAGAGCCAAGGTTGCCTACCCCTGACCATGGTCATGTGATCAAAATTTGGATGCTATGGCGGCTGCAGTATCCCGGGGGGGGTCATATGATCCCCCTTTGCAGCCTTCTGACAAGCAAAGTCAATGGGGAAGCCAGATTCATTTAACAACTGTGTTACTAACTTAAGAACTGCAGTGATTCACTTAACAACTGTGGTAAGGGAGGTCGTAAAATGGGGCAAAACTCACTTAACAACTGTCTTGTTTAGCAATGGAAATTTTGGGCTCAGTTATGGTCGTAAGTCGAAAACTACCTGTACATGTATTACATCCAGATCTTGGACACTGACAAATTGGGGCATGTCCTAAGAAGAGCCAGCAAGGTAATAAGGGACTGCAAATGAAAAGTGATAAGGGATGATTGGATACATACAAAGAGAGAAGCAACCTAGAACTAAGGAGAAATTTCCTGACAGATAGAACAATTAACCAGTGGAACAACCTGCCTCCAGAAGCGGTGAATGCTCCAACACTGGAAGTTTTTAAGAGACTGGACAGCCATTTGTCTGAAATGGTATAGGGTTCCCTGCCTGAGCAGGGGGCTGGACTAGAAGACCTCCAAGGTCCCTTCCAACTCATCATCATCGTCATCATCATCACTACTACTACTGCTACTGCTACAGTGGGTGTATTTAGTGAAGAGATGACCAGAAGAAGACCTGAGAGCCATCTTTGTATATTTGAAGAGAATGATGTACAAGTTGAGTCAGAATTGTTCAGAGTCATTGCAGAAAGAGGAGAAGAAGCTGGGAGGTCAGGAAGAGTTAATAGATTCTTCTTCATTGGATCACCGTCTTGGAGATACTGTAGTAATGGATTCATGCACTGGACTAGATGTTCTCTAAGGGACCCATCCAGTCCTTATGTTCTATGTATCTGTGTCAGGGAAGAGAACCAGTTTGGTGTAGTGGTTAAGGCTCCAGGCTAGAAATCAAGAAACCGTGAGTTCTAATCCGGCTTTAGGCACAAAGCCAACTGGTTGATTTTCAGCCAGTCCCCCTCTCAGCCCTAGGAAGGATGCAATGGCAAACCATTGTGAATGGCTGTGAATGCTCCAACAGTGGAAGTCTTTAAGATGCAACTGGACAGCCATTTGTCTGAAATGGTATAAGGCAGTGATGGCGAACCTTTTAGAGACCGAGTGCCCAAAAACTGGCCCCGTCCCCTGCCCCCACTCCGCCCCACCCTGCCTGCCCGCAGGGCCACTCACCGCCTCCATGACCCGCCGCAGATCGCCCAGGCAGCCCAACAGCACCATGGCAGCCATGCCCTCTGCCCGTGCCTCGCAGCATCAACTGTGCATGTTGGGGCGTGAGGGCAGTCTTGTCTATGCTGCCTGGCTGCCATGTCCTTGGCTGCACTGCTCCGCGTGGGCCACGCTCGGGGGCAACTCTCCTCCAGGGGGACTGCTGGTGAGGAGGGGGTCGCGGGCGGAGGCAAGTCTGGGGCAACGGCACGTGTGCCCACAGAGAGG